GCATTTTTAATCATTTTTGGGAAACTTATTTTTGAAGACATTTTTGGGATTTTCTATAAAATTTTGTCAAAATGTCAAAAACAAATATTTTGACAATATTTGTAACAGTATTTTTTAAAAAATCTTTTCTGCATGTTTCACATCAAAATATAGTGTTTAAAAAAATTGAAAAAAACGTTATTGAAAATTTTTCAGAAACAAATTCATTTGGTAAGATTTTTATGGGTCTGCTGAGATGTTACATGGCCTCTTTCATGCTCTGGAGATTTACTCTCTACCTTGTTTGTAGTTGTGCATGTTTTCATGATTATAATTGAGGAAAAAAAATACTTTTTTGGAACATCAACTTTTGATCAGAATCAACAATTTTTAGGTGCTCACACAAAAGGTGGAAATCTTTTTTTCCATGTCCCTTTAGTGGCTCTGTAGATGACACTGTTGCTCTTTGTGTGTTTTAGTCATAAAGAGATCGCCTTGATCAACTTCTCTCTGCATGAAACCCACTGCAGTCGCTTTTTATGCCTCTGTCCTGACTGCAATGAAGCTGTTCCCAGAGATCAGCTCAGTGAACACAGGAAGGAGCAGCACAGTAAGGTAAACAGCCGATGAATGTCCCTTGCCCTTCAAACCCAGGGCCAATGAATTCAATGGCCTAAAAAAGGGTTCCTTGCCAACAAAAACATATGGTTGAGGTCAACTTGGTCTAAAGAGGTCAGAGTATTTGATAGTGAATGTTTGTTGCAGGTGCGATGCTGCAAATGTCACCAAAAAATGGAACAATGTCAATTACAAGATCATGAGGTGAGTTACTGTATTTACACTACACTTTTTTCACAACAAACATTGTGGCACTTTTGCTCATAGAGCAGAAAAATTATGATGAAAATTTGATGTTTTTCATCAAATTAGAGCATTATGAGAAAAATTTAGATTTTTTTCTAAATTTTTAAATCCTAATTTCATGCAAATTTTTCTAAAGATTTCATAAAATAAGTGTTCCCAAAAATGAATGAAAATGCACTCATTTACCTTAAAACGTAGTTATGTGTGTATTTCTGCTTAAAATTCAGATTTTATTTTTCCTGATTCATTTATTTTTTGATCAAAAGCACCATACTGTACTCGCAGTCAGGTGATTGTGTTTAAAAACATTTTAATCATTGCCCAGCCCTAATTTTAACATTTTCACACTCAAAAAAAAACCCAATCGCTACAAATCCAAAACCTTAAATCCTAAAAACTCACAGTTGACCACGTTTCCTACCCCCAGACTGATGAGTGCATTGAGCGTCTGCAGATTTGTGAATACTGTGACCTGGAGATGCCATGGAAGGAACTAAAGCAGCACTGTTTGGCATGTGGGAGTCGCACCGAGCTCTGCAAGGACTGCAACACTTACGTTAAACTGAGTGACCGGGTGACTCACCTCTCCACCTGCTCAGGTGCCGACAGCTACTCAAGCCCAGCTGACGCCCAGAGCGCCGCAGTAAAGGAGGGTGAGGGGACGGAGACGGGGATCAAACCTCCAGTAACACAACCTGCACGCAAAGAGAAACATGAAGTAAGGATTAAGGAGTAAGGATTGGCTTTAGAATAGACAGTAATTTCATGTGAACGTTACCGCCACCTTTCACCGATACATCTTGTCTTCATCTTTTAGAACCAGCTGCAGCATGGTCCATCATCTGGTTTGGGGGCCAACCAAAAGGCCGAGTCAAAAAAGGAAGTGGGGAATCAGGACATTCCAGGACAGCAAAGTCCAAATTCATTCAGAGAAGTTCGTCAGGCAGCCTCTCTGACAGACAGAACCTTCACTGATCACTGGAGAGATGGAGGAGATCCGGACCACATCTTTCCCTGCCCTCACTGTCATCTGGCACTGCCCTTCAACATTCTGCGTCGACATGAGGTGAGATTTCTACACCACTCTTTATTCTCTCTTTTCAGTGAGCACTGCTGAAAAGTCCAAATATTTATATAGCTTTTTAAAAAAAATCTCTTTGTGTTCGTAGGCAAAGTGCAAAATTTACAATTTCCTGAATAGAAGAGAAAAGAAGGAACATGCTGCTGCACAGAGCGTCAGTCAACAATAGAACAGTGAAGTGTGTTCTTGTGGCAAAAAAAATTCTTCTTTTTGATTACGTTCACTGATGATGTGCCACCATTAAAAAAATAAATAAATAAAAATCAAACCTGTGGGAAAAACCACCTCTTAATCATAAATCCCAATAGATTTCCATTTAGGTTGGTTTTAAAAAAGGTGTTTGTTAATTTCAAAGTTATTTAAACATAATACGTTTAGAGATGTCCAATATTAGCAGATTTATGTAACTATCAGTAAGAATGAAAACCCGATAACGCAAGTCCTGGGTTTTGGTAAATTTACTGGAATTACTTGTGGAGTACTGAGACGTTTACCTCAGTTTTGGGGGCAAGCAGCTGCATATATTGGTATCGGTTGATATTGCAATTGGAAATTAAGTGTTTGGACAATATCGGTACATCAGATATCGGAAAAGGTTAATATTGGACATCCTTAAATACATCTGATTGACATGTGTTAGCAATTTTTAGTTAATATTATTGCAACATTTTTTAAAAATTAAAACATCTATCATAACTAACCATTGTACTGTCCATTGACATGTCTCGTAACGGACCAGTCCATGTTGCAGAGCACTTGGAATGATATTTTCACCACAATAAGATGTAAACAACCAGGCTAACAATCTGCACCATCAAACTAAGACAGCTTCGACTGTGTTGAAACAAATGTATTTTTTCATTCCAAGTGCTCTACACAGTCACAGCTCCACAATGGAGGTCAAACAGAAGCACAATCACCACCGGCTTCACTATCAGTCATGGTTAGTAACAGTCATAGGTCGAATAAAATAAATGAATTGCGCAGTTTAGACTGCCAGCTGTTTGTGGAAAAGAGAGATTTTTATTTGCATTCAACCAACCGTTCTAGGTCACCAAACAATCCCAGTTACTTAGTTAAAACAAGACAATATTTTTTTTATTTATTGGAAATGATGATAGTTAAATTCACTAAAACATTGTTCTGCAGTTTAGCAAATCTTCGTGTCATTTCAGTGTCAGTCAGACTGACCACTTGGTCATCTTAGGGCATCATTATTATTTTTTTTAATTTTTAAATTATACATATGAGATCCAAGGAAAATATTACTTATTCTATGCCAGAGAATTAAATATAAAATATAAATTATATTATACAATATTATACAATAATTATACATTTTACGTTTTATAAATAAATAGTACAATATCATATGTGCTTACATATTAATTTAAAAATGATATTTAATATAACCAATCCTAACATTACAGATCTGTTTTTTTTTTTTTTTTTTAAGGCAGTGGCAGTTGTAGAACTGCCTTGTTGTCTATAGATCTATACATCTTAGGTTTTGTGATATGAATAGTTCATAATTATAGTATACAGTCAAAGAAGTGGCTAGGGTCAGGGGTTCTGGTAGTTTAACAGATGAGACACGTTGGGAAAAAAGGAAAATTAAGGTAAGTCACAAATGCTTTTAAAACAGCCAGTCAATATAAATGTAGATCCTACCCGCTCTTCGAAGGAAGTTCACATTAGTTTACTTTGTTTAAAAAAAAAAGAAAAAATAAAGTCAGTGGTTCCAAAAGGGGGGCGGGTCCCCCACAGGGGTCACAGAGATATGACAGGGGGACGCAGCAGGTCAAATTAATTGAAATTATGCCACTGTATTAACTATTCACTGTGACATCATTTTATTTCCTTTGGTGTTTTTCTTTTTGTGAAAACATCAGGAATTTAAATAAAGTTCAGTGACGTTTTAATGACATTGCTGTGGGGATGGAGGGAGGGGTGCTCAAAACCTATCTACAAACGGGGGGTACTGCAGTAAAGGCTTGGAAACGACTGGTTTAGTGTTTGAGTTGCCTTCTGTGAAAACATTGTTGGAAAAAACGATAGAAGAAATAGAACTACAGCGGCGTGATGTCAGGGACGTCGTTAATGTTTAGAGAATTAAGAACAGAAATGACCCGAGAACACTGTCTTCATATTCAAGGCCAGAGGTGGGAGTATTTTGCAGAAAAGATGCTTTTAGTGCCTCTTAAAACTGGGAATTTTGTGACGGCCGAAGAAAAAACGTAAGAAAAATGTCAAAGTAAACCTTTAACAGTCATAGTGACAGAACTGATCGATGGATTTGACCTTGAAATAATGAGAAAAATAAAAGTACATCGTTGGTATTAGGGGTTAATAGGTTTGACCTTGTTATTTTTTTTTTTAGTGTTGTAACAAATATTTTTTCCATATATGCAAACTCCTAGGTGAAGCTAGTAGGTAACAAAACCTCTGCCGTCTTATAAAAGCACTTAAAGAGGAGAATTTGTTTTTCTCTATTCAGATAGTAATTATAATAATTCCTACATGCCTGTATGTCAACTGTTGACATTTAGTGTGACAGACATTGAGTTTAGAAGTTGTGTATGATGATGGCTTCCCTGAGCTGGGCGCAGATGACCTCATCGATGTAGAGGGAGGTGGACTTCATGCCGATGCTCTCCTGCAGCTGCAGCTCACAGCGGATCAGAGATCGCTGCTTCTCCTTCGACTGAGCCACCGCCTCACGCAGCCTGGAGACACAGACGGAGAGACGCCATGTTGAGTGGACGACAGTTTCATAACCATGATGACACCTACCATATCCATCCTATCTCTCTCTCTATATATCTATATCCATCCTATCTCTCTCTCTCTCTCTCTCTATCTCCTCTCTCTCTCTCTCTCTCTCTTCATCTATCTATCAATAGTAACTACAGATTTTTTTTTGTATATAGTATGAACTAATAAAAGTGTATGTGTGGCTTTGTATCTTTGGTCTATTACTTACACCCTGACGTCCTCACTGATTTAACATTGATGTCAGTCGACACTGTCAAAGCTCAAGATACAATTTAAATTTTACAATCTAAAAACGATCAATACTGTTCTGTGCTAACATAATGAACTGAGCAGTTAATGACGTGAGTGTGAGGAGCCAGCTCCTACCTGTTGATGTGTGTGGTGAGCTGATGAACCTCGTCTATCAGCTGTATCTGTGCTGGATCGTGGCACAGCTCTTTGGAAGGTCTCTGGTACCGTAAATCCAGCCTGGTCTGAGCCAGACTCAGAAAATGTTTATTCTCGTTGATGGCCTCCAGGAGGTCGTCCCTGATTGTCTGCTGACTGGCCACTTCAGCCTGAATCTGAAGAGCAGCACACTTAGCATTAGAGCGGATCAACAGCAAATAAGAAACATCTGACTGACCTCACATCACTCATTCATAAACTATAGCTTTTCTTTTTATACTCTACTTCACACACTCCACACCACTGCCGTCTGTACCTTGAGTAGGTGATCCTCCATCTGGCATTTGGCTGTCTTGAGGTCCTGCACATTCTGGTGAAAGGCTGCTGTTGTGGACTGGATCTGTTTTCTCATGTCTGAGGCCGTCTGCCCCAGGAGAGACTCCACCAGGGCCCGCAGGGACAGCGAGTTGGTTTTCTGCTGCTCCGCTTTGGTGATATTCATATCCGAGATTTCCTCCCACAGCTTTGGAGTCACTGCCAAGCTGGAAAAACACGGACAGGGTTGTAAAGATGAGGAACAGGCATGGACAATATGTGACAAGTATTTAGACCAAAGCTGTTTGTTCAGAAATGTTAATGTTATACAGTGAACACCCGCGATACGACGTTCCCGAAAAACGAATATTCCATGTTACGAGGGCTCAAAACGTTCCCGAAATACGAATATGAGCGATGAAGATTAACTTTTAGTGTACTGAGCTCCATTTTTCCACCTGAATTTGAAAATGAAGCAGTGATGAGCGATGAAGATTAACTTTTAGTGTTTAATAAAATAAAAACGTTTTTTATAACATAATATAAATTGTTTTCTTAATTATTATTTTATTTTGTCAATATATTTGTTTATAACTATGTATGGGCTGGAACGAATTAAATGGTTTTTAGGTTTTTTTTAATGAGGAAAATTCGATCTAGATACGAGTGAGTCGAGACACCAGCGCTGTTGTGGAATGGATTAAACTCGTATCTAGGGAGTATTGAATGTATTAAATGTTTATGCTAATCGGAGTTCACCTCGGCAGAATTGTGCCTGTGTTCCTGGCGTGCTGCAGGTTTCTGTTGGAACGTGTGTTCAACTGGATACAGGTGCTGTCAATTCTCTGAGCCTCGTATTTTTCCTTCAGATCCTTTTCTAAAAAGTGCCTGGCAGATTGATTCATTCTGGAAGCAGATAAAAAATACAGTTATTTTACTCTCAACAAGCCAATGGATTTTGACAAGGTGCTCAACATTTATTGCGACATAAACATATGTATTAATACTTTACCGTATCTGCTCTGTGATGTGCGTATTAATAGTTTACTTTACCGTATCTGCTCTGTGATGTGTTCTACGACTTGCTTCAAAACGGAGGACACCCCACCGATGACTCCCTTCTCCCGCTGCAGCTCTAGGCCCACGACGTCACTCACTCTCTCAGAAGGAACACGTTTTTTTCTGTAAATCACAGGAGAAATTCCACAGAATTATTTACAGGGTTACTTCCTTCTACTGTTGAATCTGTCATAATTAATGTTTATTAAAACAGCAAAACAAATTCAGCAGTACTGTCTTAAAAAGTCATATAGTATATATCGTAAACTGAGCGACATTTTGTTATTTCCAGATTCGTGTCAGGGGATGAAACGCAAAATTAAAATAAAAAAAACAAAAACAAAAAAAAAAAAAACAAACAAGGAGAGAAAATATAGTCCAACACTGCCATCTAGTGGCGATGGCTTCTAAACGAAATAGACCAATTGGCTGAGAACTACTTGATGTACTCGTTGTTGTACTAGCGAATAACAGATGATACATAATCACAGTGAGACACTCAACAGCTTGTGGGTGATTTAAAAAAGCTCATCCAAGCTTATCCCATATCCTCATAATAATGTAATTATTAATAACCTATTTTTACACTCAGTCCACTGCTGTTAAGTGTGTGACCATGTGATATCTGTGCATATGTGTGTGATTTCAGTTTGAACTCAATTATAAAAAAAAATATTAGTTGAATTATTGTGGGTTCCATTACATTACTTGTGTTGTTTTTACTTGGACAGAATTTTTTAAAAAAAAGCTCTTT